TATGACTAATGGATTTTAACTAATCCTACGGGGTTCCCTATCTTCCTACAAGCAAGGCCCTAGTGGTATGCTAGTGTGTGTCACTGATTATTTGATTTTGAGTTTTGGTGCCGGAGAAGCTTTCTTAGATGACAATAAATTTATTTTATTTTATTTTTTTTTATCTAGCAATGGGGACTTGCCCATATATAATAAGATTTTGAGGCAGATAGAACCCTGGATGATAAAAAGTTAGCAACCTTCGTGCTTTAAGTGGATAAACAAAGACTATAAGATAGAGATATTATAACTTTGAAAGTATAAAAAGTTACCCGCGGGGGAATGGTAGAAATAAAAGAAAGGATCGAAATAGGAGATATAGTTTTAAAATATAGGGAAAGTTTGGGCGAAGATGAAATGTCGACGAATTGAAAATTGGGATTTACAATTACAGACACAATTGGGCAAGGCATATGCTTGATCAAAAAAACCGTAGGAAACGGCCAATATCAGGCAAAAAACAAAGTAAACAAAATACCTCACAGCTGAATGTGGGGTGCCATAATCATCAAAAACAACCAATAATATGGCTACATTTGTAACGATATTATTGGCCGATTAAACTATAAATAAGGTAGCCCCAGAAGGTGGGAGGAAAATAATAGAGAATTTAATCGTGACACTCAATATCCTTTTTTCCTCCAGTGGAGGAAAGAGGGATATTGATAACCTAGTTGGCAAAGTGGCATGATAATCAAAAATTTCCTAAATCTTATTTATTATGTCTTGGTGGATTAAATTATGACATATTTACAACTTTGAATACATAGTAAATATGTTTCATCTTTTAATCACAATTCTTGAAATAAAAGTGCTTAGCAAAATCAATTGAGAATTTAGTCTCAATTGTCTGTGTAAAATTAGTTACCATAGTTCCTCGAAATAAAAAAAAACAAATTAAAAAATTGAACGTGTAAGTTATCTGGTTTGTTTGTAGCACCAGATAGATAACTTACATGGTCCAAAATTTCAAGAAATGCACGGTTTATCGTAAGTAAAATTTTGTAGATGACTGTTGTATCATCAATACCACAGAAATTTGTAAAAATATATTTACTTTTAAATTTTGAATAAGCCAAGCCGCTCCAATATTTTATTTTTTATTTATTATCAATTCAGTTGAACAAAGGAAATAAGAATAGTCTTCTAATAATTGAGTTAAGCTTGAAATTAAAAAACGAAAGGTTCAACTAAAGAACAAAGACGTAATTTCTTACCAGAATTTATGTGCCTGGAAAGAAATAGTACTGTCTAAATCTCGATAAAATTAATAAGCTATTAAACGTTTTTTTTCTACATACATCTCCATTGCCTATTTTATCGTATTTGTTTGTTTTTATTTCGCGG